ATAATAATAATAATAATAATAATAATAACAACAACAACAACAACAACAACAACAACAACAACAACAACAATAACAATAACAATAACAATAACAACAATAATAACAACAGCAACAGCAACAGCAACAGCAACAGCAACAACAACAACAACAACAACAACAACAACAACAACAACAAAAATCATGTGCCATCAAGTCAATTCTGATTGACGGTGACCCTGTTTCAGTGATTTCCAGGTACAGAGTATTCAGAAGTGGTTTCTGGCAGCTTGCCCAAGGCCACACAGGCTGGCCCCACTCAGAGGAGGGACAGCAGGGAATCAAGCCCCCCAAGCCTCTGGCTTGGCACTTATCATAGTGGTTTCTAAAATTGGCATTTACAGTTTCTCCTAATCTGCTTTAACTTTTCAAAAAAATATATCTTTTTTTTTTCCTTTTCAAACATGTTGAAAGCTCGGGTGGACAGAATGGCCATTCATAAAGACACTATTATAATGTAACGCTTTCCCTCTTGAAGATGTTCACAAGAGCTTTTGGTGGTAGAGAAAAGTTGAAGAGATAAGTGCAGAACATTCCGCATCATAGACATAGCAAACTTTGACAAGCATGAAAGCTGTGGTTTATTAATTCACCGTTTAAAACTCTGGTTTTTTTCCTTTCCTGTTGCAACTGGCTAGGTCTTTCCATTATGATCCTTCCCAGCGGTCAACCTTTAGGGTTTCAATTGTAGGTGCAAAACAAACAGGCAAGGTCAAGCGAAAATCTCCCAATATTTTTATAGCACGGTTGTGTGAAAATGAGTAATCATTGTTGATTATCTTAACAAAGTTTTGAAAACACTCCTTTAGTTTTTCTAGCCCTCTTTGATGTTCTTTTAACAGCAGCCATTCATTGATTTCATATTATTTGGGACATACAAGGTGACTTTGGAGAACAAGGGAGAGTTTTGCTTAATTGGAATGACTGCATTTGTGTATAAGTCAACAACCTCACCATGAAACTCCCTGGGTCTTTTAAAATGGTTTCTCAGCATAAATAGAGTCATTTGCTTGTAGCAAAGCCGGCTCCTCTGACCTAGTATCCTTTGGGTGAACGACAGTGGCCACAATCCCCACTGATGGAATGATGGGAGTCATCCTGCAATATAAATCATTACACTAAGGGCAGTTTGGGTCTCCAAAGGTCTGTCTAGCAAGCCTTTCATCCCAAACCTGTGCATGTTTACTTGTCCCCATGAGATCAATGGGACCTTTTAACAAAGGCATACGATGCTGTCCCAACCCGTTAGCCATCGTATGCTTCCTCCCTGTTTGTGACATTGAATTTGAGGGTTATATACCACGAAGAGCGTATATTTCTGGAATTTCATCCTGTATGGCTGGTGAATGAAAGGCCTTTTCTCTGTGCTCTTGCACAGGATTGTATGGCAACCCTAGTCTTGGGACCATTTCCACTCCTTAAAACTGAGATTAAATTACCAGCAATTTTAGAATCCACTGACTTTGCTGGAAACGGAGATGCTGTTCTTACTATAATAGGAGATCAGCAGAACCTGTGAGGCTTTGCAGAGGCTTCCCCTGTGGTTTAGCTGGCTAGATAGGTCAATGGTTTGGCTATCTGCCTGAGGAAGGAGAGGTTGAGTGTTCAATTACCCACTGTGCATTCCAGAAGAGCACATCTGGATGGCCTTGGGCAGGCTGCACGTTCCCCGGGGGGCGCCACCAGAAGAAGGGAATGATAAATCACTTCTGTGTGTTCTCCGCCTCAAAAACAGTGGAAAGGGCCTCCATAGGTCAAAATCGATGGGCCAGCACACAATACACATCTTGTAGTTTGAACCCTAAGTGTGAAAGGCTATAAGTCTCACGGAGCTTCAAAGGTGGCCAGGATGATTCCATGAAATAAGAGGCTAAATTCTTATCAGTCTAAACTGATGTAGTAAATGGTCTGGAATGATGGGATGTGTCATCCAAAATATTTGGAGAGATCTACGTTGGTGGGTGGGCTAGGGCCCAAACTAAATCCTTAGTCAGAAGTTAAGCATAATGGGTGACCATAGACCAATAACCAGCAACCAAATCCTGTTGTGCAATGTGAGCAGAGCAGAGTTTTGGCCCACCCTTCATTGGTACATAAAGAGCTCCCGCTCTGATTCTCAGGAGCACATGCTCACTTGGGGTGTGTGCATGCATGCCCCAATATTGTGTCAGGGGCCATTTACTCACAAGGAACAGACTGAAACCTACAATTTTGCTTAAGTTAGGCAGCAGGATTTTGGCCAGTGAGATAGAATGGTTATTTTCTCACATGGGAGGATGGCAGAGTGTCGTCAAACCATGATTTACAATCTTAGTTTGTGGGGGAAAGGATGGCTTGTGCAAACTAAGGGCAAAAGGTGCCGAGTCCTGACCTTGACATGGTAAAGGAACAAGGTCTGTAGAAGCCAGAGGATTTTTCCTGAGCTGGATGCTCGGGGCAGGAACCCAGACATGACTTAAATCAAGGCAATGAAAACAATAGTCTTCCACATAGGCTGGGCTTCTGTTGGGCTTCATACGGCAGTCCCAGCCTAAGAGCTGGGTCAACTCTTAGGTCAGAAAATGCAGAGAGAAGCCTGGGGCTGTCCCTTCACTGCTGGGAGCCGGGTGGAAGACATGCTGGCTCTTCCTGGAGACTTTACCCAGCCTTTCTGATTTCTTTCTCTAGGCCTGCCCCGGCCCTGTGGATTAAGAGGGTTATTACAGGTCAGCTGTAGGTTGCTCAGGAAGTGCTAGAAGCTAAGTATAACCGTCCTACATTGTAGGAGATAGATTTTTTTTTAACTTCTCAAGTTAAAGCTGGTTAGTTTAACAACAGGTGCTGGAGGCTGTAGAAGCCAATTAAGTCTGCCTGTAATGGCTTTGCCTGGGGGCTACGAAAGCCACCATTCAGGGGAAACAGAACATTGCCTATGCTTCCATCTTTCCCCATAGGAGAAAAAGACCCAGAATTCTTCAGCCTATTCTCCCAGCTCCGTCACAGGAGTACTGAAGGAAGTGTAGCACAATGAGAGCTTAGGAAGTTATATTTGGGGGGGGGGTACTATAGCTGATTGTGACAGGCAGAGGCAGTGACAGATTTTACTTTCTTGGGCTCCATGATGACTGCAGATGGTGACAGCAGCCACGAAATTAAAAGACGCCTGCTTCTTGGGAGGAAAGCGATGACAAACCTAGACAGCATCTTCAAAAGCAGAGGCATCACCTTGCCGACAAAGGTCCGCATAGTCAAAGCTATGGTTTTTCCAGTAGCGATGTATGGAAGTGAGAGCTGGACCATAAAGAAGGCTAACCATCGAAGAATTGATGCTTTTGAATTGTGGTACTGGAGGAGACTCTTGAGAGTCCCCTGGACTGCAAAGAGAACAAACGTATCCATTCTGAAGGAAATCAACCCTGAGTGCTCTCTAGAAGGACAGATCCTGAAGCTGAGGCTCCAAGACTTTGGCCATCTCATGAGAAGAGAGGATTCCCTGGAAAAGACCCTGATGTTGGGAAAGTGTGAAGTCAAGAGGAGAAGGGGATGACAGAGATGGTTGGACAGGGTCATCGAAGCCACCAACGTGAATTTGACCCAACTCCGGGAGACAGTGGAAGACAGGAGGGCCGGGCGTGCTATGGTCCATGGGCTCATGAAGAGTTGTGCTTTAAAAAAATTCCTCTCTTTGAAAGCATCCTCTGTTGTATGGAAAGGGACCGCCTGTCCCATCAGACATTGATGGGCTTCTGGTCCCACTGTTTCTTGTCATTTTCCATGCTGGCTGGGGCTAATGGGAGATGGGAGTCCAATAACATCCGGAAGGCCACAGGTTCCTCACCACTGCTCTATGTGAAAGGTTATCCAAATCTGTTTTAAAGATGACTAATGGAAAGAAGGGACTTTGATCTTCAGTATAAAGGTCACCTTCTCACTGTCTTTCCTTCCTTGGTGAAATGCATGGCATTTCTACTTCTGTTTACCAGTTATTTACAATTATGCACATAAAAATGTACAGAACCTTGTGCAATTTTTTTGCAATTTTGGACACTCCCTCCCTGAATCCTTAATTGGCCATCCACTCCATTACTCTATGATTCTGTGATCCTCATAAGGAAGGTAGAGAAGGACGTTATCACCTTTTGCCAAAACAGAGCATTCGTAGGAAGTAGCCAACTCCACCCCGATGCAACTGACCTAACGCCACCACTTAATGACTTAACCATGTCATGGCTGTTATCAGCTCCTCTCTCATCTTTCTTTCAGCTTCGGTGGTAGTGCGAAGATTTATTCTGTCTGGCTGTGGATAAAGCTTGAGCGGCACCATGGGAGGTAAGAGAAGAGCAAGGTTTCCTTGTAAACTGATGCTTTGTGTGAGGGGCCAGTGCTTGGAACATGAAGCAGCGAAAATGACCGCGCTATGGAGGATCTTTGCTGGACAGTGAGTTTGAAGCCCATAGGAACACATTAATTGGGTTTTAATGCGTTTCTATGGGTTTTTTAATATCGCATTACGACATTTTCATTCGACAGCGATTTTGCTGGAATGAATAAACGTCGTCATGCGAGGCACCACTGTTCTTAGGACTCCAATTCCCACCAACCCCAGTCTTCATGGCTAATCATGAGGAGAATTCCTGGATGATTCTTGTCTTCCCGGGGCCTGCTATACAGGATGGAGGGCTGGCTGAGGTGTCCTGACGTTTCTTGTTGACATTAATAGAATCAAGAGACACCACTCAGACCATAAACTCCAAGTGCTGATTGCGTAAACATTCGTGTAGTCAAACTTCCAAATGCTTGCAGTGCTAGATAGCTCAGTGGCTTTGGTCTCTGGCTGCAGAGGTTGGGAGTTTGATTCCCCACTGTGCCTCCTTAACATGGGCTAGGGACTTGTTGATCCATAGGGTCCCTTCCAGATATGCAGTTCTAAGGTGGTGATGATGATTTCCGAGACTCATTTTTTCTTCTGACCGCAATGTCACTCAGGTCTCATTGGGGCAGCATGGTGGCATAAACCCTGATTGTGTGAGCAACTTAGTCTTTTTGGAAGTTTGCACAAGGAGGCATGTGGTACCTCCTTACACAAACTGTTTCCTTTTTTTTTTACAACATCTCAGTGGTGCAGTGTCACACACATACACCCCATGAGCAAAGATGGCCACTGGCCGCAACCATGGGGGCTAGATGCTCCTAAATGGCTCTGTGGATGCCAACTGCTGCTATGGCCACTGCTAGACCCCTGCATCCTTTTCAGTCTACAAGCATTATATTGGATCTTGACCTCCCCATTTATATTCTTGAGGATCCAACCAGCCTCTCTGATCCCCAGTATGATGATTTGGGGGGGGGGGGGGAAGTTCTGCATGGCACTCATTGTTTGATTGACATCTACCTTTCCCCCTCCCATCAATGGGATGAGGAGACACTTAATTGCTTGGAAGTAAAATTGGCTCTGCCTTTCGGGTATAAAACATCTGGATGCTGTTGGTGGTTTAATTTATTGCTGCCCTTTTATTGTTGGATGAAGTGGTATCATTGAAATATTCATTCTAATGTACTGAATACCTGCCAACATGTCTTGGTCCAGCCTTAAAGGAGTACAATTCTCTGAAGGTTGATTCTTGGGAGGAAATTCTATGGATAGGATTGGGTTTACCTAGGAGAAGAGTTTCTTAGGGTTGCATGGTAGATAACCACCTTAACAACCTAGCCATAGGGTTTTACGTGTCACAGTGACATTGTTATGAACTAGCCCAAGTGCATCAAGCATTACAAATTACTGGAACAAACACCCTCAATTTGTAGGATTCTGAATAATTTCTTCACTCTTCTCGACCAATAATAATAGGCTACAGAAATGGTTCTCCATGTTTGGTCTCCCAGATATTGTAACTGGATTTCAGGTCCTGGAGTTTTTAGTCAGCATGATCAGTGGCCAGGGGTCTTTCAGTGGATGTCCAAAACACCTGGAAGGTGAAAGACTGAGAATCAATGGCTTAAAGTGTCTTCCTTTCCTCCCTGAATTATCATCTGCATTGATGTTCTCCAAAGACAATGCCTGGGAGATGCATGAAGACAAACCAGGCTATAAAAAGCATTGAAAATGTTAATGGAATGCTTGGTGGATGTCAAAGCCTAGCAATCTCTGCAGAGCCTCCTCAAACTGATTAATTTGTGTACCACATTTTGAGGTTCATTTGAGTTAACAGTAGGCAACTGTGAAGATGGACAAGATACATTCCGAGGAATTAGAGGAAAATACATATCTATGTGTCAGGAAGTTTTCCATCTGAATCTGGGAAGTTGCTGAGTGACTCTAGACAAGCCCTTCTATCTTTATGTCTATAATATCATGATGTAACTATTGGAGAAATTTGGTATAAAAGGGGAATTGTATTAATTTAGTTATTCCTTTTAGTTAGCAGAGCACAGGGCAAAAAAAGCACAGAGAATTGGAGAGATTAGCTCAGTCTCATCAGCCCACTGTTTCCACATTTTGTGTATGATTAAATCACAGAAGAATTAAAAGTAGAAAAAAGTATCTTTACTTACAGTTACCATCTGTAGTTATAATCAGAAGAAAAAGGGGGAAATGGATTCTCCAGTATACAGGAAAACCATCTGTAGTTACAATCAGAAGAAAAATGGGGAAATGGATTCTCCAGTATACAGGAAGCCAGCAGTTTAGACATTAATGGCTGTACGTTGCATTATTTTGAGGGGACAACACATTTACACTGTTGTACAAGCTGTATACTCACTGCTTTACAAGTGTCATTTCTTCAATGTTGTCACATGAAAAGACATACTAAAATATTTATGAAATATTTATGAAATGCGAGGGATATAATGTAACCGGTAGCCATTCTTGCTGGGGGGGTGATTAGCTCAGAAAAGTAAAAATTCTAAGCGCTAGCTGGGACAAGTTGTGGCTTTGTATTTGATTTTAGAGCCATTCAAAGTATGGGAGGTACTAAATACTAAGTATCATCACCCTGTTTGTAACCACCTTTGCTTTCCTTCCAGAAAAAATGAACAATTTCCCTCCACTTCCCAAATTCATTCCATTGAAGCCGTGCTTCTACCAGGATTTTGACGAGGAGATCCCACCCCTACACCGAACCACAGTCAAACGTCTTTACTACCTCTGGATGTGTGAGTTATGGCTGTTGCTGAGTTTTGAATTACTTTGCAAGAAAAGGAAGAATAGTAATTGTAACAATAACACAATGCAACAATCAAAATTTTGGAAGGTTTATTCTTTGGATTATGATTCACAGAACCAAAATAGTCAGTGGTCATGCTGATTAGGGAATTCTGGGAATTGGGGTCCAGAATGTACTATTTCCCATCTCCAGTGATAAAAATGCTGGCTGGCTGGCTCAATGAGTTACGGGGTGGGAGTGGAGTTTGATCGCCCACTGTACCTCCTGGGAGAAGAGCCAACCTGGGTGGCCTTGAGCAGGCTGCGCAGTCCCAGGATGCCCCAGACGGCAGGTCACCATAAGTTGGAATTGAATTGAGGGCATGTAGCATTGTCATTCCCCTTCATGGATTGCTGCCTTGTCGTGGCGAAGGAGCTTGAGTAACTCAGAGAAGCTCTGGGCTATGCCGTGCAGGACCGCCCAAGATGGACAGGTCATAGTGGAGAGTTCTGACTAATCCGCAAGGAGAACAAACCTATCCATTCTAAAGGAAATCAAGCCTGAGTGCTCCCTGGAAGGACAGATCCTGAAGCTGAGGCTCCAATACTTTGGCCATCTCATGAGAAGAGAAGACTCCCCGGAAAAGACCCTGATGTTGGGAAAGTGTGAAGGCAAGAGGAGAAGGGGACAACATAGGATGAGATGGTTGGACAGTGTCATCGAAGCAACCAACATGAATTTGACCCAACTCCGGGAGGCAGTGAAAGACAGGAGGGCCTGGCATGCTCTGGTCCATGGGGTCACAAAGAGTCGGATACGACTAAACGACAACGAGCATTGTCATTTAATTTGATTTAGCACATGGCTTTAAAAAAGGGCTTAGCAAGTTGTGGCCATTCAGATAAAACTGCTTTTATCTTGACTCTTCCAGCTAAGGCTGATGGGAATGCCAGCTCAACAACACCCAGAGAGCCATCTAGTTTCCCACCTGTGTTTTAAATCCAGCGCTTGCACTTTATCGAAAACATTCATTCCAAAAATTGACAAATCCCCATTTAAGTTAAAACCTCTAGGACTAGCAGGATAAATGCGAGGTGGCCATTTACATTGTTTAATGTATTTCTTCTAGTCTAAGAAATAGGGATGGGCACAACGTTAACAACGAAACAGGAAATTGGTAAAACAAAATGTGCTAATCCATGGATTCAGGTTGGTTTGGGTTCATCCAAACTGGACAGCCCAAACTTACCTGAGCCGACAAACGTTTTTGGCAATTAAAAAAAAAGAAAATCCCAAATGAACCAGGAACTTGATTTGTGGTTTCTTTGGAAAATTTGCAAATTCATGGCTCATGAACATGCACGCACCAAGTTCGTGCCCATCTGTACTAAACACCATTCTTGGGCTTGGCCTGCTTGGTACAGGACCAGTTCAGAGTTGTTCCTTGTACCATGTGGACCTCGTTTGTTGTTTAACAGACTGCCTTTTGTTGTTGTTGTTGTTCCCTCTGGTTGTTCCTAAACTACAACACGGGGATGTTGACATGTCTTTGGGTCCAAGTCAGAGTCCAGGTCTTTGGAACCAAGTCCCAAGTCTCTGTTAAAAACAAGCTTTTTTCTTCAGAGAAAAGAGAGGGGTGGGTGGGTGCCAATTTGCGAGTCAAGGGTGACTCATTGAAAAAAACAACAACAACCCAAGTCATCGGTGCGACTGAAGTCTGACTTGACAGTGAGTTCTATGACTCAAGTCCCCATCCCTGCGACGGCATCTCTCTACCCAGAGAACGTCTGTTGATTGAAAGGCCTATCATGGGATTTCTGCTAATTACAACCTGCTTTCGGAGGATTCTTCTAGCAGCGACGTGTCCTGGAGGAAATGTCAACCGTCAGGAAATGTACATGGAGAGCCCTGCTGACTTTGCAGTGAGAAACAAAATAACAGATGTTTATGAGCACAAATCTGTGCCAAGAATATGGCTTGCAAAGGGGGAGAATTTTTCCATGCGGCTTTTGAGTTCTCCGCTCACAACCTGGTATTCTCCTACAGGCGAGGCTGTGACAGCAAAATTCATGAAGAAGAGCCTGGCTTTTCGACTCGTGCATCCGCACAATTTTTGCTCCTTGGGTCACCAAGGAGGAAAAATATGTCCCATAAAGGAGACAACGAAGAAACAGCAAGGTTATAGATGCCAGATTATTAAAGGGCTCAAGAAGCAAGCACAGGAATCAAAAAATTTCACTGCTTGCCCATTGGTTTCTGGACCCAATTCAAGGGGGTTGTTTTAACCTTCCAAGCCCTAAATGGCTTGGGATCGCTCTCCCGATGGACCTGCCCAAAGGTTGGCGGATCCTCATTTCCGGTGGAAGCCCGTTGGATGGATACCCAGGACTGGGCTTTCTCCTGAGCACTCCCAGACTGTGCAAGGCACAATTGTCACGTCAGTGAAGGAAATAAAGATGACAACGGCCCTTCAAACCGCCTTGAAGTTGATCCTTGGGGCCAAATGTGGATGGGGATTGATAGCATGAAGGGAATAATTAGCTATCAAAACATAGGGATAGAAATCCCCTTTCCCATTTGATATCAGTTTCATGGGGGAAACTTTGGTTGGGGTCCATAAAATATGTGCTCTGGGGTCAGAGAAGAACTTGGAAGGAGGGAGGTTAACCTTCCACCTCCGCACACCATGGGCGCACTCTCCTGCGCCTCCCTTCATTATTGCCTTTTAAAAGAAAAGGACACATGAATGGTTTTCATGCAGTTTAGCCTTGCCTTTAGTTTGGCGTTCCAAAAGCAGAAGAAGCCGTTCTCTCTGCCTATATATTGTGTCGTGAGCAAGAGGGTTTAATGTTCCTGGCAGACTCGTACAGTTCCCATTCACTCTGCTGGATCTGCTGGCCAGGGGCTGGTGGGAAGGGCAGCCCAGCAACATCTGGAAGGCCTCCCTTGGCCCACCTCCCATGGAAGCAGCCGCCTTGGATTCCCAGACTGGGCAGGGCAACCTCCGCGGCTGGTCTCTTTGGGGCGGCACTTTGTTGTTGTTCCACCCTTTTGTTTTGGCCCCTCTCTGTCCTCCAGCTGGCCAGAGGTTGCTTGGGAAGTGCAACCTGGGAAGCTGTGATGGGAAGGCATCCTGAATGGATGGACACGGTCTTCTCTGATCTCCTATTGCTCTTCCTTTGAAGCGTGATCTACTTTCTCTTTCTCTCTCTCTCTCTCCCACCCTCCTGTCTCCCCTCTCTCTGTCTCTTCCTATCACTGGGCTTGCAGTAAATAGCATCACCTTAGCAGTGAATCTGATCGGCTGCCTTGCATGGATGATCGGAGGCGGTGGAGCCGTTAACTTTGGACTGGCAATTCTCTGGCTTATTCTCTTTACACCTTGCTCGTATGTCTGCTGGTTTAGGCCTATTTACAAAGCTTTCAAGTAAGTGACTACCTTTCAGTCCCTCTTTTCTCCCCCTCCTGCTCCTCTTTTCATTCCACGGATCTGTGTTCCACACCTGCCTAGCAATTGCCCTTATTGTCACACAGACGGATAGAAGTCCATTTTCTCCTAGCTATGTCCCCTCTGACTTCTCTGGCCCGAGGACAGCTCTGTTTTTTAAACTAGAACTCCCAAATCCCATGGCCAGCATCCTGGGGATTCTGGCTGGTGTAATCCAAAAAGTTCACCTTTTCAGGGTCTGGGAACCCTTTCACTTCAACTTTTTTCCAGCTGAGAACTTTCATCTGGCCAGAAATCATGAGTCACCTTGGCTTTGCTCTGTCCGTCTGCCCATCTGTTGCCATCTGTGTTCTGTCTCATTGAATAGACTACCGTACAAATAGCCGTAATTTATATCCCCCTTTCCTCCATTACTCTCAAGACAGCGATGATGTGGTCTCCTTCGCAGCACCATATCCTCACAACAGTCTTTGGTGACCTTGTGCTGGTCAAGAGGGTGTTGGCCCTATGTCACTCCATGGGTCTCCCTGACTGGGTGAAAACTAGAACCTTGTTTTTCCCTCTAGCATTCGAACCACTACGGCACATTATCGGTCCTCACGGGCTATTACCAAACCCAGTGAAAAGACACTGGGTTAGAACCTTCTTTCCAAAACAGCTGTAAAAACCTTCAGTCTTGGTTTATATCCCAAGACAGGGAAAAATGGGAAAGTGTTGCTTATAATGCTATGGGAATTGGGTGGCTCCAGGTCTCGAGTGAGAACGATGTGTCGTTAGACTGCAGATCCCATCATCCCTCACCATTGTCCATGTGAGATAGAGCTGATGGGAGTTGGAGTCCCACAATCACCCGTATGTACCCCCCCCAAGCTCTCAAAGCATTTGTCTCAAAATACCCCCTTCACTTTTCCCTTGAAAAGAAGGAAAACAGGAAGGTACGTCCCAGAAGGCACCCCCTCCTTCTGCAAATTCAAGAGAGAATGACATGGCTTGGATAAAATTCCTGCTTCCATGGGGCTGATCCAGCCTGTCTCTGGACTTTCCCGTGTCTTTCTTGCTCATTAGCCCCTCGTTTGGAGACGGGTCTGTATGGTTGGAGGGAAGGGAGCCTGGGTTGCGCTGGGCTGCTAAGAGGGAGCCTCTTCTATTGTAGGACAGACAGCTCCTTCAGCTTCATGGCGTTCTTCTTCACCTTCATGGCGCAGCTGGTGATCAGCATCATCCAGGCCGTCGGCATCCCCGGCTGGGGAGTCTGGTAAGCGCGAATCTAAAGCCGTGGACTATTTGGGGGGGGGGCGAAGTGTGCTGCCTTGCAAGGCAGTGCCTTCCCTCGACCAAATAATAATTCCCTGTGAGAAAGAGGGATGTTTCCAATCACGGAAGCTTCTAGGAGCGATGGTTGTTGCATGACAACAAACCAGCAGGGGCCAGCTTAAGAAATCGTAAACCAGTTAATGGTATGATCGAAGAGACTCGTCAGCGGGAGCCACAAGATAGAGAATGCTAGACCCTTAGCATGGTCACATGACGAGAAAAGGGAAATTAGGGGGGGGGATGATGACACCGATTTGCTGACCTTAAGGGGACAAATTATAAATTATACCAAATACATCTCCCTAAAATAGAGAAGCTTGTAACCAGATGATTAGCTGCTATGTTTGCTGTTCTGATGGCTTCTGTTGATGGGCAGATTCAGCGCTGCTGATTTCCTGGTTTCTTATAGTCCTTTCTCCTTAAGGTAGATTAGAACTGGAAAGCCAATGTAATAGAGGACTGTCCTCTGTAAAATAGGACACATGACCACCGTCTAGGGCCTGCCTGTACTAGCAATCACTTATTTTAGTCCATTTCTCTCTTTTACAGGACACTTTTCCTGCCAGCTTTTAGCACTGTAATGTTTGTAATGAATCTGTTCTTCCTTCCAATTCCATTTTTGGCCTCACCTATTTTTCCTTTAGATGCTTTTCTCCTTAGGGTGCTGGCCATTTGAATAAATTCCAGTTCTGCCTTTTTTAAATATCGGGTTCAAGTCACCTGTATATAAATCGGTAGCCACCTTCCCTTTGACTGAAATTAAATTGATTTCTTTCTGATAATTAAAGCCAGTTTTGACAGCTACACTGGTGAAATCAACGGATCCTCTTTCTGCTTTGGGAGCACCGTTTGCATAAACTTTTTGGCTTTTTTTTGTAAAAATAAGTGATACAGCGATAAATTGATAGCTGCATTCATTTGACAAAAATGTTTGTGATTACAGTGCACCAAGTGATACATCGCTAAACAGTTCTATATAAAAAAATTAAAATAAGAAAGGAAAACCATTTTTTTAAAAAAACTTAAAATAAGAAAGGAAAACTCCCAGTGCAAAAGCTACTGACATTCAACAGGGGCACAAAGTAAATCAACAGCACCAAACTGAATTGATTTAAATCTATTTAGAAGTGAAGTGTTTCAAAAAGGCTCTCCTGGCCAGTTGAAAAAACTCACTTTGCAGCCCAGATAAAGCAGTTTCACCAGTGTGTCACGTAAATGATATTTTATAAATAAATTTAAACAATGCTTAAGTGTCTTGGGCATCTGGCTGTGGAGCCAGAGGTTGGGGTTTAAGTCCCCACTGGGCCTCCTTGACAGCGGCTAGATTTGATGATCCATAGGGTCCCTTCCATTGCAGTTCTAAGATGATGATGATGAAATCAATTTAATTGTAGTTCTTATTGCCAGTGGAACCGCACCCTCTTCTACAGGCCTCCTCCACTCTTCTTGTCTCTCCTCTTGTTTTTAGCATCATATAACCTTGTAGGGAAATGATTCTGCTGTAGGCAGAACAGAGAGCATATTATTTAGTCTAATAATTTTCTATTAGTCTATGTACTTTCCATATATCTATGTGCCATGTGGACCTGTCTTTAAGGCAACAGGAAGAAGTGTTTTCTCATTTCCTCTTGTATTCTGTGACGAAAATTAGTAGGCGTCTGTAAAGCAATGTAATAGGCTGTAATCTGCTGGAGAGGCGCTTTATGGAGGCAATAAATCACTCTGACGGCTGGCTGGGGGGGGCTGAGTGTGGCATGCAGCCAGAGAACAAAGGAGCTGCTGGAGGAACAGAGAGAGAATCAACCTTCTCCCGGCCATGCTAGAAGAGTTAACTAAGAGCTAAGTAATCTGCAGTCTGAAGCGGTAAAATGAGTACCCAGCTTGCTGGGGGGCAATGTGTAGCCTATATAATTAAAATTTGTAAACCGCCCGGAGAGTGCTTGTAGCGCTATGGGGCGGTATATAAGTCCAATAAATAAATAAATAAATAAATCTGGCTGTGGAGCCAGAGGTTGGGCGTTCAAGTCCCCACTGGGCCTCCTTGACAGGGGCTAGATTTGATGATGCATAGGGTCCCTTCCAGATTTGTAGTTCTAAAATGATGATGATGAAATCAATTTAATTATAGTTCTTATTGCCAGTGGAACCGCACCCTAAGCCTCTTCCCTAATCTACTGTCCTCCTCCACTCTTCTTGTCTCTGCTCTTCTGTTTTTAGCATCATATAACCTAGGACTGATTCCCACTCATTGACCTGCCCTTAGGTGAGATCTCCGATTCCACCAGATTGACAGTTTTCCCTTCCCTCACACCAGCTTCATCGTTTACGTCTTCGGGTAGTGATTGGCTCTGAAGGGTAGCACTCGAATATATATGCATGACGAAAAGCCGTTTTCCTCTTGCTTTTTCTACAGCGGTTGGATTGCAGCAATATCTTTCCTCGGCACCAACGTCGGTTCGGCCGTTGTGATGCTCATCCCCACCATCCTCTTCACAGCCATGTCTGTCTTCTCCTTCATCGCCCTGAGTATGGTAAGAGCATTAAGAAAGGTTTTCAGAGGAGCTCTGCATGCTGCTTGGGCCAGGGTCAGCTTTATGGGCATCCTCTTGTTAAAAAACGAGAACCACAAGGCTGTGAGGTTGAATCTTCCCAAAGCGAACCTGAGCAGAAAAGATTCGTAAACCACTGTTTCCTATCTTTTCGTGTTTAACTTCCCACCAATCACTCAGTCAAAGAAACTGGGTCCCGTCATGATACAACAAAAAGCTCATTTTTTCCCCAAGATATTTCCGGAGACATAGCTATGTTGTTCTGTTGATAAAGAGTGTTGATGATTAACACTTTTTATTTGTCATAAACTTCTGTGGACTTCAGCCGTAAAATCTACAATCCATCTACAAAGCTTGTGCCAAATAAAATTCATTAAATCTGTAAAGTATGATAAAACTCTTGGTTAGTTGTCTAAAAAGGACATCTACAGGTTTGCAGATGTTCTCGTATATTTACAATTTATTTATTTTATGAACCACCGTTCTCCTGATGCAAGGGTTCAAGGTGGCTTGTGATGTTAAAAAAATTAAAAACCCAATCAATTGTAAATATAAAAACAGTTAAACTCTGATAGTAATTAAAATGCACAGAATTATTAAAAGCATGTAAACTTTGCAAACACATTTATGGTAATTTGAAGGACAGAAATTCCAGTGGTATTGTGGGAAATAAAAAAAACATGAACAAAAAGAAAATTATAGTTCTATGCTAAGCTGAAAATCGTATTGATAAATTATAGATTTTACTGATACTCTAACTTTGAACTGCTGGATAGCTCAGTGGTTTAAGTACAGTGGTGCCTCGCATAGCGATCGCTCCATATAGCGACGAAATCGCTTTGCGATGGACTTTTTGCCATTGCAAAAGCCATCGCTTTGTGATGCTCCCTGAAATCAATTTAATTGTTGCAATGATTGCAGGGAAGCAATCATAGCAAAGCCCCCATTTTCGGCCAGCTGATTGACGGCTTCAAAATGGCCGCCGGGTAAACAAAATGGCCACCCACTGTTTTCAGGCACGGATACCTTGCTTTAGAGGCACCGAAAATGGCGGCGCTATGGAGGATCTTTGTTTAAAGGTGAGTTTTTAGCCCATAGGAACACATTAATCATGTTTTCATGCGTTTCTATGGGCTTTTTATTTTCGCTTAGCGATGTTATCGCTTAGCAGCGATTTTTTTCTGCACGGATTAACATTGCTAAGCGAGGCGCCACTGTATCTGGTTGAGAGTTCAATTCCCCACTGTGCCTCTTGTGAGTAGAGCCAGACTGGGTGGCCTTGGGCAAGCTGCGCAGTCCCAGGGCGCCACCTAGAGGAAGGGAAGGGGAAAACCACCTCGGAATACTCTCTACTTAGGAAACCTTGAAAAGAATCTCCATAAGTCAGAATTGACTTGATGGGACATGATTATTATTATAACCATGAAATGCAAAGATAAGAAATTTTAAAACTGCAGCAGTACTATTGGGCAAACGTTTTATTTCTAACACCAAGAAACACAAAGCAGTATTTCTGTTTATTTTGTGCGACAGAAAGCCTCCGTCCCGTTTCTCTGTCCCACGGGTGGTAGCAACGGATGGATGCCGACATCAACCTCCTTCTGCTTTCTCCAACTCAGGTGCATAAATTCTACCGGGGAAGTGGCGGGAGTTTCAGCAAAGCCCAAGAAGAGTGGACAACAGGTGCCTGGAAGAACCCGCACGTGCAACAGGCGGCACAAAATGTGGCCGTCGGGGCTGCTCAAGGATCCATGATGCAGCACGAAACGCAGTATTCGGCCACCCCTAACTATAACTACCCCAATGATATGTGAGAAGTACCCCCCCAACGGCCCCCCGATTGGTAGCTACCCCAGTGAAATGTGATCCGGTTAAGGCCTGAGGTGGACAGAACCAAGTGGAGCAGGAGTGTGTGTGTGTGTGTGTGTGTGAGTGTGAGTGTGTGTGTTTCCTTGTGTATAGGGAGGGTTGGATTCCATTGTACAGGCGGGATGGGATTGTACAGTAGCTTCATTAATGGCGGAGGAGTGTCACATTTTTATTCTTCCCCCTCGACTTTCTTCCAGGATAATTCTCCTTGGAGAGACTTCTCTCTCTAACTCTCTCTCTCCCCCCCCCCATTCAGAGACATTGTGCACTGACCTGCAGGACAGTTGTGCCGTGCTGTGTTGACTGTGCGTGCGTGCGTGCTCGTATTTTTTCTTCTTCCCCTTTTTGTGCAACAGTGTGTAGCGGTGGGTTTTCTTTGCTTCAATTTACTGTGGTGGTGATAGGGGATGCGTAGAAAGAACAGCCTCAGCGAAGGGCCAGTGGAGATCCAGGGCTGTGAGAAGGCACCCAGTCCATGAGAGCACCTTAGTGCAAAAACGTTCATTGGGTTCGTTCCGTCTGGGGTATTGTATTATTCCGCCCGTATAGGACATGGCTGGCTTGCTAAGCGTTCAAATCCTGCTCTCCCCAGATTGGAAGGCTGCCCACCTACTCTCTTCATTTCACACCCTCACACTCTCCAGCTACAACTTTCCTTAATATGGGCTATTATAAAACAGAAATCCATTTCTGATGCATCCACGGCAGGAAACATCTCTCCCTATGGAGCGGTCCTCCATAGTCCAAAATTAATTGGGCACATTCCAAACGTTCCCTTGTGAAATCACACACACACTCAGGCAGAGGCGGCTGCCCCCCCCCGTGTCACGTGAGGCTGCCTGCTGCAGCCATTGCCTAAAAGAGGGTCACCATCCTGGCAACACAAGGTGTTGGGTGTCTCTGCGCAGGAGTGCCAGGAAATGTCAAACCTGTGGCTAAGGCTTGTGGTGGGTGAACCGCTTGACATCCTGGGATCCTGGCCATCATATTGGAGGAGTTCTTCTCGACCATCTCATGTAGGTAGAAAACCAGGGCTAGAGGGAGCTTGGAGTCAGGGCGTTCCCAGCAGACAGCTGTCCAGTCTCTGCTCAAAGACCTCCCGAGAGGGAGAGTTCACCATCCCTTGTTATTAGATTTGTGACCCTGTCATCTGAAATAATCCTGTGTGCATTTAGCCATTCTCCTTATGACACACAGCAGATCTTGAATGGATCCACACTTTTCCAGAAGGAACAGGCACTCCACCTTCCCATCGGTAGAGCAGGGGTCGGGAACCAGAAGCCCTAGGCTGGAAACAGACTTCCCGGATGGTTCCAATCCAGCTTTCGGTTTCTTCCCTCTTTTGTCTTTGGCCATGCCTACCACTGAAGTGCTCCCCCTCAGACATTTGGAATAGAAAGAGATCCCTCAAGCTAGCTCTGTAGCCTTTTGGGGATCGGAATAGAGCGACGCCTTCTGTATTCTGCCTTCCTGTGGTTTCCCAGCCTCCCCTTGTAATCCAGTAGAGCATCATGAAGGTTGTA